ATTCTTTAGGAATGAAACACAATACCATATCAAATTAGGGAAAAGTCATAAATTCACGTTGAATTCGTAAAAAGATCAATTATACGTTTAAACTATTATGACGATTTATTACATACTTTTTCTTGTTGAAAGTATAATTAATAGTATTTAATACCACCTCAGAACCAATGTGAAAATAAAATTAAATATAAAAGAAAAATAAGCGCATAGGAATCTAAAATAAAATCCAAAAAATATTTTTTTTTATCCCCCACCCCCACTATTCTCCTTCTCCATGTTCTTTTCTAATGGAATAAGGGTCTGAAAAATATCCCAATTTTGGTCGAATTTGTTGTTGCAATACTAAACTTTCATGAAGACCTATTATCTCCCTAGACTATTTAATACCGTATTTTAAACATATATATTTGCTCACGTGGACATAAAAAATAATGCAAAATTATAAATAGTAATGTGTCCACGTGGGCACATATATACCTTTAAAATACACTATTAGATAGTTCAGGGGGTAAAAAACAAGGTATTAAATAGTTTAGGGAGGTAATAGGTCCTCATGAAAGTTTAGTATCACAACAACAAATCCGACCAAAATTGGAGTATTTTTCAGACCTTTATCCCAATTATAATTCTATAAGTTCTCACTCAATTTCATTAATATCCCAGAAATTTCCTAGTAATTTTGACTCATGCTTAACACACATTAAATTGATCAATATCAAGGTGATTTCACTAAAAGGGATAATTTTTTAATCCAAATATCACACTCACAACTCACAACTCATTCAATTAGATTGATATCTAACAAACTTAGAAGAAAAAAAGGTGTTTAGACGGTACTAAGGAGTTGAGAAAGAGAGGGTTTAGATTTAGAATTCATGTCAATGATGATGATAAATGGAGTGAAATCATAATGGGTAACAACTTTGGCTTTCTTTGTTGTTCATGTCTCCCACTCCTTCATGAACTTTCCTACCATAGTCACTACTCTGTGTTCTTGATCTATCGCAATAGCTTTTTTTATATTCTTACAAATTCAGAAGAGAGGGTCGAAAATGGAGTCATTCAAGTAAGGATGAAGAAAGAATATAAAGGCAAAAATGAAGTCATATAGGTCAGGAAGAAGAGAAATTATATGTGTAGGTAGGTATGCACAAATCTGTAGGCGTGTGCGTGCCGGGCTAGATTATGTGTTTTTATATTTGAATGTGGTATTAGGTTACACTGCTATCACATTCACATAAAAGGCTAAAATTATAAGGAGATTCATTCTCGGATGTAGAAATATTTTTAAGACATCGCCGAATTTAATTAAGAAGTATTCAAAATTGTCGTACAAGCCAAATGCGATGTCAGTATTAATTTAAAAAAGATTCAAGATATTGAATATTTTAAAGTATGACGGAACAACAGATCTCCACGACCACATAACTAACTTATATTATCAGAGTTAAGGGAAATGTTATTAAGTTAGGGAAACTACCCAGCACCAGACCAAATTATTTTTTTCAATAATTAATTTGAAGTTCAAATGGCAAGCGTCTATTTCTCGTTGGTTAATTTGTCACGTTAGACGAATTTGTACTACACATACTTCTAACTTGTTTGTATTACAAAAATACTTCTAACTTGTTTGTACTACACATTTTTTTAAACTAATATGTGTGATGAGGTTCATAAAGTACCCTCTGAATGCCTTTGAAGTGTCTTATACGTACAAATATAAAAGTTAAAATTTGTAAAGAAAATCTTTTGCCAACTTTAATTGTTCCGTATGTAATTAACCTCAAATTTTTATTTTCAAGCCAAAAACATATACACCCCCTTAATCTTGTCACAATTTCTCATGAACATTCTAATTAAAGATACAACTTATTGAATCATTAAATTTAAATGTAAACATTTTATATATATATATTATTTTTTTATTTTTCTTTTGTTTACTAACTAACTAAACAAAATCTAAAGTGAATTTGCAATTCCCAACCCCTTAATTAATTTTAGATCAACTCCCTCATCTCGTAAAGATTAGAATTCAAAATAATAATAAAAAAAAAGTGCGTAATAAAGAGGAAACAAATACAAATCCATGAATGGATCACTTACTTATTATTATTCGAAAGTAGTAGTAGGTACTATATACTATGCAAAAAAAAAAGATCATTATGACATGCATTTTGTTTCATTTATAAAACATTAGAAATAACAAAGAAATTAAACTAGCAAGTCTTGTAGCAAATACAACGATAATGGCGAAAACCGTGGCAGCGCCCACCCTCAAAGTTTTCAGCCTGGCATTTTTGGTTGCAAATGTGACCCGTTATACAAATTCCGTGGAAGGTTTCGCTATGGTATTGACATAGTTTTGCCTCTGTTTTTCGAAGTCCAACTCCTACTTCCTCTGCATACACAAAATTATATAGTAATCGATCACAATCACATATTAAACGTCGAAATTATAATAAAATTTCAAGTAATAGTACCATTACCATACCATTTGTTGAGAGAAAAAGCACTAGGAAGAGAAGGACAACATATGTAGGAAAATGCTTCATTTTTTTTAAATTTTGGTTATGAAAATTACTAAGTGAAAATTGAAGGGGTATTTATTAGTATTATTTATAGGAACATGAATAGGGTGATGATGCTTACACTATTTATTCAACTCTTCCTTTGGTGGTTTTGAGGACTTATCTTTTTCTTTTTTTGTTGACAACCGTCTAAGGTCTTATCTACACATTTCTTGAACAGTTTGATTTTTCTTTTCAATTTGGTTATTTGGTGGTGGTTGTGTTTGTGAAAGTTCTCTAGAATTACAATAGTTTTTTGTTGGCTTTATTTGAATATGATACTATGGGTTTGACACATTGACTATAATATCAAATCAAATATATATTGCTATGTGTTCGGTGTAAATATTATAAATTATAATAAATTACGATTGAAAATAAAATAAAAAATAAATATTCAGACTGAAACACAAATATCTCGCTTGCTTTTTAAAGAAAATCCAAGTCCGTAACAATATAACTCTTAAAATTTGTCCCTTTCAGGATATAACAGTACAACAATGTCGTATGACTCAAACAATTCCGAATTAATTGAAGAGTTCAAAGCTCCAAAAAAAAATACATTACTTCAATATATAATTACTCTAGTTTGCATAGTGAATTATTAGCGAAGACTTAGAATATTTTTTCTTGATTTTATTTCTCTCTTTCACTACATGAACCTAAAATAAACACAATATAGGGTGTGTTTGGTATGAAGGAAAACATTTTTCGAAAAATGTTTTCTAATTTTGTCATGCTTGGTTGGATAAAATGTTTTGGAATGTTTTCCAAATCAACTCATTTTTCTCAAATTTAAGGAAAACGACTTCCCTTTAAAAATTAAGGAAAACATTTTCCAAAACTTTCCTCCAACTTCAAATTACAATTGTTTGGTTGAAAAATCAATTTTATTGTTGAAAAAATAAATTTAAAGCTTATTTTTAAAAAATATTTTTCAACTTCAATTTTTTTACCCCACCCTCACCCCAACCCCCCTCCCACCGCCAGCCCCCTAACACCCCCCCCCCCAAAAAAAAATAAATATAAATTTAAAGTTTGTTTTTAAAAAATATCTCCAATTTCAAATTTTTATTTTCATCCCGCCCCTACCCTCGACCCCCCTACCCAAATAATAAATTTAAAGTTTGTTTTTAAAAAATACTTTCAATTTCAAATATTTATTTTTCACCCCTACCTTGACCCCCCCCCCCCCCCGCCAGCCCTCTACCATCCCCTCCCCTCTCTCTCCCCTCCCCCTTCCCCTCCAAAAAAAATAATTTAAAGTTTGTTTTTAAAAAATATCTCCATTTCAAATTTTTATTTTTTCATCCCCGGCCAGCCCCACTACCCCCTCCCCCCAAAAAAATAAATTTAAAGTTTGTTTTTAAAAAATATCTCTATTTCAAAAAAAAAAATAATCACCCCTACTCGTGAACCCCCCCCCCCCCCCATCAGCCCCTCACCCCCTCCAAAAAAAAAATTAAGTTTGTTTTTAAAAAATATTTTTAATTTCAAATTTTTATTTTTTTTACCCCATCTCACCCCTATCCCCCCCCCACGCGCCAGCCCCACCCCCACACCCCACCCTCCCCTAAAAAAAATTAATTTAATTATTAAAAAATATTTTCAATTCAAAAATTATTTTCTACTCTCTAGTAAAAATAAAAGATATTTTCTCAAAATATTTTTCATTCATAAATCAAACACTAAAAAAAATTTCCGAAAAATATTTTCTACTCACCAATCAAACATGAAAAAATAAGTCAAAAATCTACTTATTTTCCAGGATAACATTTTCCTTCATACCAAACACACCCATAATACTTCTCATTTTTCTTCACTCTATATTTGCTTATACACAAAATAAAGTAAGATCATAACTATTTATAAGTGAAGAATTCCTTCTTACAATGAATTAGAAGAATGTGAGCAATAATGATAAATAGATGACCTACAATTATATGAGTTATAAGGCGTAATGCAGTGGAACATGATTTAGTGGTTGTATAAGTTACACAAAAACTAATTAAGCACATTTTTATCAATTTATATCCACTAAAATAATGCATTTTAATATTAAAATGTCATGCTCCAACGCTAATCCTTTTCCCCCTCACTATTTCGATCATGTGAACTAATTTAATAAAGATATTTTTTAAATATGATATTACTATCCCTCATTTATTTATTATAATTAATTTTAAAAGAAAAATCTAATAATCATAATTTTAAAATCTAAAAGTTGAAAAAAATAATAATACTCAAATTACAATTTTGTTCAACGTAGATTTATTTCTAGTTCTTATTTTTAGATAGCTAAAAATCAATTGATGTTTTTTACAAAGATTTTTGCTTTTATAAATGATTGATGAAAATATTCCAAAATATCAAACGCATTTATACCCTGCAATTTTATTTTATTTCTGAATATTGAATACAAATAATTACAATAAAAATTAAGTTAATTTTAAATTTTTAGTTTAACAAACTACAATCTTCCAAATCTACTTATTTATATTTAAGTTCTGAACAAAGGGGTCAAAGAGGTGGAAGTGGAAGAAATGGGGAGGGAGGTATCTGAGAGCTGTGTGGAGAGTTTACTAACTGAGATCGTCTCTTCTTACTGCAATGGCTTCTACGCCGACAAACCGGAGCTTGCCGCCCGCCGGATCGAAGCCATCGGTTTTCAGGTCGGCCACCAACTTTCCGAGAGGTAACGCCCAAAAAACATTTGAATTTGATTGGTATAGATCATATTATAGTGCTAATTTGGTGTATTTACGGTCTCTGATTTTGGGGATAAAGTTCATAGCTTCAAGTAACATAGATATGGACTTCTTCAAGTATCTTAATTTTGTATTTGTAAGTATTTATTTCGAATGTTTTCAGATTCACGAAATTATATAGTTCCAAATTGTCCTACTGGTGGAAGAAGAGGCAATTGGTTGTCTGAGTTTTTTGACATTTTTCGGTTCAGTACATTTATACAGTTCCAAAATGCTTAGCCTTAGGCTACTGAATTCTTAGTGTCACTGAGTTTATGTCTCAATTCCTTGATCTACAACTTATATCTTCGGTCAAAAGAACTCAAAAATGTCACTGTTGCTAGCTTGACTCGATGTTAAGATGAAATTACTCTTTATTGCTCTGATTATGTGGAGGAACCAAACCAAAATCCTTAGGGTTTCACTTGTAGTTCAGACCTTGCTCCTCCTGTCGAGGACATTCTAGATTGGGGAGTCCCATTAGATCCGAGTCACTACCCCATTTATTCTCGGGCAAAGAAATGATAGCAATGATACTTCTTAACGGTCATTTTCCAAATTCTTTCACTCCCATTTTGATGTGTTTAGTAACTTTTTCTTATCTTTATAATCCCAGTAATATGACGCCACCATTGCCTTGCCATAGGATTAGCTAATGAGTACTCCAAAGATGACAAAGAGATGTTAGTTCAACTTGATTAATTCTAGGGATGAGATTGATTGTAGCCTAGGGGGAAACCCATCTCAATGTGCCAATTTGGTAATATATAACAAGTCGAAGTATATATCCACCTGTACCATCATTTACATGAGTAATGGTCTAATGGAAAGTCTATGAAACTTGTAGTTGACAAGATTAATTGTATGGATTGCATATAGAGTTTCAAAAAGAATAAAAATTGTATGGATGACATAGCTAAAGATGCTAGACAGTGCCTAAACTTGATAATAGAGTCTTACCCTAACCTTCAAGGTTGCTTGGTTAATATAATAACCTTACTAGTTACTCAAGGATGTGTTGTCCATTGATTATCTTATCTCCCCACCCCCCACCCCCCACCCCACACACACAAAAAAAGAAGAAGTGAAGTGTATTGTTATGTGCTCTTCATAAATGTCACCCAACATACTCAATTAGTCGAATACACTACATACTTCCCAAGTCCAATAGTGAGTCGACTGCTCAAAAACCTGTTTCTAAGTGCTTACATCTTGTTACATCCACTGCTAGTGGAGGGTTTTCAATTGAGACTGTATTGTGTCTTTACCTTGTTGTAAAGGACCCTTATCTCTCAAGCATTTCTAGTTTACGCTTCACAAAGAGGTAAACCCACACAATTCTGATTTTGTGGATTTATCATTCAAGTTTCCAAGGATCTTCGAGATGAGCTACCTTATTTAAAGGACATTCAGTATGTTGTTGACTTCATTCATGGCTTTTAAACCTAACTTGCCTTACTATAGGTAATCCTACAAAGCAAGCTGAACAAAAAATGAGTTATTTAACAATTGACTTCGCTTAACATAGCCGCAGTCTTTTGTGCTGTTCAGTCCCTTCTTGCTCCTAGGAAAGACACGTGCAGAATGTGCCTTAATATGATGACTAATAAGTGCAGATTTTTCATGCCCAGACTTGAGGATATATTCTAACATTGACTTGTGTGGTGGTTATCATCAATTCCGAGTCTGCGTAAGACCTAAGTAATGAATGATTTGCATGGATAGTACTGCCCGTTGGTAGTCTAAAGCTTTGTTGCTCGGACTCTTCAAAAATATCGACGGGTGCGTGTCGGGTACTTCAAAAATATTGTATAATCTGACACGGGTGTGGCGACATTTTTGGAGAGTCCGAGCATCATAGGTCTAAAGCCCTTAGTACCTTCATGCATGTTACTTTTATCCTTTAACCTTGTCTTTGTCAAAATAAATAAATAATCATTCTTACGGAAGCAAAATTTATGTTAATTGTTTTCTGATTAGTGTGTTTAGCAAGCTTGCACACACTTCGGTTGATCTTCTGGGCAAACTGTCCAGCCCACTTGCACAGGTTCACCTAGGTAATCCCTTTGTTGTGAATGTGATGAGTTAGAGTTGTAGAGAATGACGTGAACCCAAAATTATCTCACAAGTTTGTAGTTTTCATGGGTTGGCCTTCTATCGTTGGTTCATTAAGAATTTTTGTACCTTCATGGCTTCTACCACTGATCATTGAAGGAGATGTCTTCAATGGTCTGCTAAGGCGGCCAGAGCTTTCTTGGGTATCGAGGACTAGTTTCAGCTGAACTGGTCCTTGGGCACTTTAGCTTCGATATTGATGGTATCTAGGCCATCTTGGTTGAACCTTTACTAATCCACCTGGTAGCCCGTCCAACCAACATGCACAGGTTGTCAAGATATCTCTTATACAAGGGATTAAAATCAATGGTGATGTAAGCATACATAACTTTGTAGGCTGAAACTCTAGCCTCTATCTTTTCTTTTTGTTATTTCTTTTGCTTTTATTGAGTTAACAAACTTCTGTGGCTTGTTATCAAGTTGCAACCTCAAAGACTGTTCTTGCTCTGAGTTCTAGTTTGAAGTGTAATGTAGTCTCTGGATTGTGTTGAACAGTATTTTAAAACTTATCTGCAGGGAGTCTGACTTTTAGTTGAGAATATCTTTCACTTCTATCTTGATCTCAGTATGATTATACACTGCACAATATCTTATTACTAAGTTGGACCATGTCTTACCTTTCATGTTTTACTTTCTGTACTATCTCTATATTTTCTTCTTTCTAGGTATACCATGGATAGGCCCCGGTTCACTGATCATCTGGAGGCTATCAAATTCATATGCAAGGACTTCTGGTCTGAGGTCTTCAAGAAGCAAATTGATAACCTGAAGACAAATCACAGAGTAAGTTTGAGAATTTGTGCCATTGCTGCTTAAGCATGTGTGATCTCTAACTCCTGTTCATGTAGGGCACCTTTGTGTTGCAAGACAACCGTTTTCGTTGGCTGTCACGGATGTCAGTTGATCCTTCTATAGAAACTCTTGGTTCAATTCAAGATCCTTCAGCGATGGCTGAAAACAAAGCTGCACAAGCCATAGGAATGCATCTCTATTTCCCATGTGGAATCATAAGGGGAGCACTTTCAAACCTTGGAATTCCTTGTGCAGTTTCTGCAGATATATCTAATCTTCCTGCTTGTAAGTCTTTTCATTTTGTGTTCTTTTATTCTGCCAATTCTCTTAACTGAAGAGGAACGAAGAGCTTCATTTGTATAATATCCATGCCTATTTGAAAAGTGGGTGGGCATGAAATCTCCCATCTGATTGGTAATTCTGCCTAGAAGCACACATTTTGAGCACAAGAGTACTCGTAAGTTCAACGCACTTTTAGGTCATACTTCTGTTATTAATTAGATAAAGATATCTCAAGACCATTTTCACATCACTGCCCTTGCCATTTGGGAAGAAGCCTCAACTGGAAACTGTGGATGGTGATAGATAGATTAAACTTACGAGGTAGATCTAGATTTCCTGTTTGCTAGGTACTTCTCTGTTTCAATATATGATCACCGGGTAACTGAAATGTCTGACTTTTGTGTAGTTGCACAAAATTTTTCTTGTTCGAATTACTTGTGTAGTATATATATAGACTCCTTTTTCTTTTATAAATCAAAATATTTTCGTTGAATTTCACACCAAGCTGGTGTCTATTGTAGAGGTACTGTTGTTATTTCAAAAATCCATCTATCTATCTATCTATCTATCTATCTATCTATCTATTAAAAGGAAATATTTTGTGTTACATAAAAAATGCAAATGACAAAGAAAATCCCTATATCTTTAACCATTCCAATCGTATGGAGGATTTGCTCATAATGACTTGCTTTGTCGGGATTTTGATGTTACAGGTTCATTTGTGATACGAATAAAGGCATGATGGGCTTTTGCAAGAAGAGTGAATTATCCAAAGGGTTTCATGAGCTATTTCTGTGCTTAGTATGTTCAACTCTCTCACATGAATGCCCTGTATTGTGTTATGATTTTAGACTCTAAAAGAAGTGGAATTTTTCAGAGAAATGTTGGTTTTCACCTATGTGACAAAACATTGTATAGGTATTCTGAGTACAAGCTTTCTTCTTCATGATACAACATGGACTCCTCTTACTAGCAAACTTGTTGATACAATTTATCTTAAGATTTCATGATCCATTTCTATATGCTCAGTATGTTCAATATCTCACATGAATGTCCGGTTTTGTGTTATGAATTAAAACGATGGATGTGTTTTATTGTCATATGAGACAAACATTGTATAGGTCTTCTAAACACAAATGTATACGTACTTTAAGAAGATTATAAACAATTTGCAAGTATACATGGCCTCTCAACCTAATCAATGGATCATAAGTTGAGCAAAAAGGTGGACAAATCACCTGAAACTGATGCTGGTTCGTCACCACGGCTATCAAAAAAAAAAAGTACCTTTTCGCGTTGATGGTTGACTAGCGATGAGCTTCATATAAATGATACATTCGTGTATAACAATCATCCTAAAGATGTAACTAAGCATCAAAATGTAACATGTTTCTCTGTAGGAGAAAGACCATCAACTAACTATCATCCCACAACAAATATAGGAAGCCCTATCATACACAAACTTAGCAAATGTTCTATACAACCAGCGACTGCTAATGACACTTTTGGCAACATCCCAATGCTCCTGAATCGAAGTCTAGAAATATCCAACGACCTATGCAGATTGATTCCGTCAGGCTTTATATTCCATTTTGCGAAATAATCATGTAGTCACCAGATTAGAGCAGGGATATATTGCGTATGGATGATTTATAGCACGAGCTGATGAATCTGGCACTGGCAGCAAAGCTCGTACCTGCTTACAATCAAGCAAATGCTTACATGAAGTTATCTACGATCAACTTCTTCAACTCCTCCATTTTCTTAATTATTTTAGGGTTCATCAAGTCTCTGGCTTCTTTTATAAGAGTGCCTTCTTTACTGAAATTATATGCATCCAGCACTGTCCCTATCCAGTTGTATAGCTGCTCCGGAGTCCTGTAATGATTAGGCATTTATTAGTCACAGTTAAAAAGTAAAACTACGTTAAAGAAACCGAAAATGAGAGAAAAACATAACCTCTAATGGAAAGTAGTATTTAAGACATAGAAAGTACAATTGTGTAAAATTTCAGAATAAAATGCTGTCAAAGTATTAAATATAAGATTTGATACATACGTGTATAAGCAATCTACATCTTCCCCTTCAAGTTCTTCTCCAGGTGTGAAGGCATCTTTCAATGCGCTCATTCGCTCCTCAGGATCCTTAATCGTTAGTAGATATTTCAGAATTCTGATTTCTTTTGGCATGAGCCTCTGAAGATTTCCTCTTGTTGTCTTATACAAGTGATAAAGAACATCCTTTACCTGAAAATATGGAGAAGAAAAATAAGACTTCACAAGCCAAACCATTTGCCTATTAGAAAAAAAAGGAATAAATTATTTGACACGAGGGGTGAGTAGAGCCAAACACTTTGCTGAGCCAACATACTTGTACAGAACTGCATCTCATGCAAAAGTTTATCATCAAAACACTAGGGTTGAAACATGAAATCATGTAACTTAGATAAGAATGGCCAAATGACTGTTATCTTTTAGCGCTAGCGATGTCTATCTGTCCTGAAATTCTAAAACATAAAACTACCACCTCTAAGATGGAGACCTGCTATGCTACCTGTAAAATTCCAATAGCAACTTCAACATATAAGCGTACCAAATTTCCAACAATAGGTTCTCTTCAAATGCTAGATGAAAAAAGCAAAGGTCACAAGGGCAAAGCAACTTGGTGCATGAACGCACAGAAGCTACCAACTACACACTATTTTAATGGGCATAAGCACTTTTCTCAGCATGGAGGATAACAATCACTATTCCAATAAACCAATTCCAACTTGATAATTTTAGTTTGTGGGCAGTAGACTATTTACGTTCATGTCGCTTAGCAAAAATCACATGACATTTGCTAATGAGATAAGTTACCAGTTAGTCATAAATACTTTGCCACATATTCTTCTTCTATAGGCTCAGAAATGGAGAGGTAAGAACACTTGAGAGTAGAGAGAAATATTCTCCAACATAATCAAATCTTAAGGGGCTCCCACAGGAAAAGCAAGAATTATTTGGATATCACTAAGAATTGTGTCTGTTTGAATGCCGTCATTTCAGTAAGCCTCTACTTCTTAATCAAGTTAATGCTAGATGTGACACTGGGAACTTACCTACTACATATCTTGGCTTTTCTCTGGGAACAAACAGCAAAGTAGATAGTAATTGGTAAGAGATACTTGAAAGATGTGAAAAAAGATATATCTAGTTGGAAAAGTCAATCTCTCTCTCTTAGTGGTAAGCTTATTCTTATAAACAGTGTACTGGATTATTTACTTTGATAAGGTAAAGTTTATCGATGTGAGCAACCAAGGTGCTGCTCAGTTGTACATCCAAAAAGGTATGTGCATTCACAAGTCATGTAAGGAACAGAGAAAGTCCAACATGGCTTTGCACCAAAACTAAGCCAAGATATACAATTGTGTTTGAGTTTGATCCCAATATATTTCTTCCCCTCAAAAATTGGTGGCGCTGCTTTCATTCCAAATAACCCAAAAAATAATGTGTTCCAAGTACCAAAATCTGATTTGGTGACGCCTTACCAATGCCATGCAAGTAGGAGATCTAAAATGGATTTTGACATGCACCATTTGATATTCACAACCAAAAGCCAAACCTCGCTTGAGACCTTAAGATGGAGGAAAAAGTAATTACTCCATCTTCCTCAGAAGGAATACACCTATTGGATAACTGTAAGCTTCTCTTTTGTAGATTTTCAAGTGTGAGGCATCTATCATTTGGCACAATCCAAGTGAAGCATTTGACTTTGTTCAGGGCCTTGCTTTTCCAAATTGTTGTCCATGGACAAAAAGGGAAGTGTTCTGGATTCTTCGCTATGGAGCAAACAGCTTTGGGTGTATCAGAAGCAGAACTTTACCACATGAAGTGGGTTCATGGAGAAGCATAAGGACACTTTTCCTTCCCTTCACTGAAAATATTGACTTCAAAGTGGGTAATGGAACTCGTTTATTCCACTCGCTCCCTAACTCTAAGAGCAGCCACGGTACAGGATATTTGCCGATGGATGGAGTTGTAGTGGAAGTTTCTGTTGTTCCTCGTACGGTAAGTTAAGGACATAACAACCACCTTGGTGTAGTTGAGATATCCCATCCTTCACCCATGTCGTAGCATTTCCAGATTAGTCCAAATTTGATCAAGGAGAATATCCTTCTGGAATATGATAATTGGATTGGCAATTTCCCTTTGAGAGACCAACTCCCTGCTTAATACAGACTGTCAAAATCAGCCTGATGCCACAGTGGCTAACTACAGAGACCAATGCACTTGAAACTTCATTTTCAGAAGGCATCCCAATGATTAGGAAGTTAGAAAACTTACAACTTAGCTCAATCTTTTGGAACCTTGCCATAGCTTCAATCGCAATGAGGATGTCTTAACATGAAAGCAACATAGCAAAACATTTTTTACTGTGAAGTCTTGCTACCAGACCTATACTCAGTCACACAACCAACAAAAAGTTCTACTTTTTGGCCTTGTCAACAGATTTGGAAAACAAAAGCACCATACATAGTGGCCTATTTCTCTTGGTCATTACTAAGTAGCCCATAATACTTGACTGACTCATGAAACCTTCAAAGGAGGGGTATCGTTCTACGTAACAGATGTCAAATATGCGGGAGGAGGCAGAATGATAAACCATTTGTTCATTCATTGCAAAGTTACGGCCCTACTCTAGCACATATTTTTCCGAAAATGGGTTATGCCAAGTAACACCGCAGAACTGGTACATTGTTGGAACAATGGCAGAAAAAGGAACAAGAAAACAAGGATGAAGAAAAGGCACTAGCTTAGTCTCAGGCTTCCAATATTGTGCTATCATATATCACTTTTACCTGTTAAAAAAAAAAGAGGAATAATAAAACATGGTGGTGAGAGACTATCCTAGATTCATATGGTGGATATGGAGGGAAAGAAACAATAGACGTATCGAAGAAAAGGCAAGCAAATCCAGCAGATCAAGGTTAATTGTATAATTTTGTTCTCTTCTTGACGTGAGGAGTTTGTGAATGATGCAGTATTATTTTTTAAAATATTTTTTTGATAATATGATGCAGTATCAATTCTTAGCCTCTAGGAATCCCTATAAGATTAGAAAGGGATTTTTTTTTTTGGTTTTTAGCTCAACCTGTAAATAGACCAGCACTCCCTTAGTGATGTTTTTACTTTTTATAATACAATGACCTTCTCTTAACAAAAAATCAAGTTTATGCTAGAATGAAGAAAATACTGGAAGAAGTGAGATGTGGATGTGTATCTGATGGAAAGAATGATCTTGCCTCATCTTTTGTCATGTCCGAGTCCTTGGCTGCTGACCATGCTTTTGTAATCATGAGCATCAGTGCTGAATCAAGTTGATTTTTTTGGGCCAAATCATCTATTTTCTTACAAGCCGCATCCACGGAAGGAGAATTGATTATATCTTGGAATTTCAACTCTGCAGCATTCAACGCTTCCATACTTTCAGTTGCCGTATCATAAGCTTCCACAGCTTCCAAACACATATTCCCTAGTTTTGCCACAGCTAATTATTAAGAAACAGCAAAATCTTGTCAGTGAAACCGATCAACAGCAGAAACAATGTTATGAAAAACAAGGAACTGATTTTTGTGGAGCTCATGGCTTCCAATTTCTGAATTTACAGTAAGAGGTTTACACTCTCAGAGTCAGAGATTCTCCAAAGCTTCTTCTATCTCATTGAAACAACAAAATATTATAATGTAGCATACTAGCATTTGCTTTATATGGCAAGAGGAGAAATTTTTCAGTTGATACCTTTTGACTTCTTCCCCTTGGACCTTAGGAGTGACTTCACATATTGTGAGCTTTGGGGGAGAGTATATGTGTTCATATATGGGAAACAACATTTCTAGAATGTATATATTGCAAAAAGGAAATAGCGTCTTAGTGCACATTACAATGCAAACGTTCATCAGAAGTATGACCCCAAAAGAAGAAGAAAATTCAGGAAGGAGGCATGTTTACCATTTTGTTCCGCTGGATCATCATAATAGGATTCTGCCACAGTGTGAAGATGAGCAAAAAACTCTTTTGTAAAATCTTTACGACGCCTGGCAACAATATCACCAACCTCCGATGGTGACCTTTTGATTGCCTCAAGAAGTTCGTTATGCCTCTGAACATCATCATCAACCTGGAAAAGAAGCCTCCAAGTTGAATTTCAACAAAAACAGACCAAGCTCACATGAAAGCTGAAAATTTTAACACAAGAAAATAAGATAAATTTTGCAAGAAAACTACTAATATAATCCTCAATCCATTGATCTGTAACATGTGATTGATCATAAAAATGCATCTCATCCCAATAGAGCACTGCAACTAGCAACAACTAAACATAAATAACTGATTAATTTTAGTATTTATGAGTCAACTGAGGCCTTGCTGAAACTTTCTTAAAGAGGAACCTCAACTAAATGCAATGAAATAAGGTTTGATCTTATTCATGGAGATCTGAAACTATTCCAAAATGAGTTTGACATAATTGAGCCTCTTTGGAAATTGAAAGCAAAAACAGTTAGTAATTCATGATTTGGCATATACAGAATGACAACTTCAATGCTCACTATGGAAGTTAGTTACCTCTCTTAGCTTTCTTTGAAGCTTGAGAAACTTGTGCTTCATTCCAGGATCACTTTCACTGTCTGCTCGGTCCTGACATCGCTTGTAGAAATGGGGCCGAATATTGTTCCATTCCTTACTAAATGCTAGCAATCTTCTCCATTCAGTAGGTTTGGGCTTGTCAACCAAGAAGACTTCAATTAACTTGTCGCATACTCGGATCATTTTATTCTCATCCAACCCTTCAGAAGCATCTTTCCTGTCCTCTCCATTTTCCACGCAAGTTTCTTGACTAGTAGCAGAGTCAGATAATTTAGTAGTGGACGTTTCCTCGTTAATTGCGCCATCTGACACAGCAGGTGTATCGCCAATTACAGCAGCAAAGGATGACTGTCGCAACCTCACTCCATTTATAGATAAGAGAGAACCTAACATTTTGAGAGACAACATTATTATCCAATCAATTTCACAGAACCAATAGACAAATTATTCTACTCCCCTTATCCCATTTTTATATTGAGCTTCGACTAATTCCAGATGTTAAGATGTTAACTTAACTAAGGTAATATTAAACTAGTGATACTGGATTCGGAAGGAAAGTATTAACTCAGACAAAGCTATTCTCATCTTCAAATAATCCTGTCTTCCAACTTCACCATAAATTTTGTCCAAACACATACTAAATTAAGAGTTTCAAAGATTACTTCGACAGAAAATACATCACACCTAAGTTCAATTTTATATTATTTTCTTCTGTGTTAAGCATGTTTAAGTTCAAATTTTGAACTTAACAATCTTGTCTTTGAATTTCACCACAAATTTTGTCCAAAGGCATACTAAATTAAGAGTTCCAAAGATTACTTTGACAGAAAATACATTACAACTACGTTCAATTTCTAATTTTGTTTCCTTTATAAACATTTCTAAATTCAAATTTTGAACATATTCGAATAGTAAAATGAATTAGAATTCAGGAAGTGAAAACTATACTAATAAGATGTATCAGAAATATAATATTTTCATAATACTATCAACGGAAAGAGTGTAATATGAAGAGAGATTGAGGAAAGTGTACTAGCTAGCTGAAATGAATTGACAAATTATTCAAGTTGCAGAAGCATGAAGAAGTAAGTAATTTTCGACCGGGAGAGGCTACATACCTCCGGAATTAGCTCCGGCGAGGAACGGCTGGCGCTGTTGAATTGGACTTCGGATAAGAGAGAGAGGCGGAAGAAGAGAGAAATTTCTAGAAGCAGAAGTGGACGGCCGTACAGAAACGGCATAGCATGTTGTTATAGAAGCTGCTAGCACCATTATTTAATGCTATATAAAAAAGTTTTTTAGATTTTTTTGAGGGTTTATAAGTGAAGAAGAAAGCAGATGAACTCACCACTCACTCTGTTTGTTGCAACAAAATACCAGGCAGATGCAAGGACAAATTATGAAACGGGTCGGGTCGGGTCGGGTCGGGACCTTCCTGCAAAGACAAATTATAAAAGTAAGGACGGGTAATTCGGTTCGATCTCGATTTTTTTTTTTATTTTTCAATTTTCGGTTCTTGTACCATGTGTATCGAACACTTCGATACGATTCGATTTTTATTATTTTGGTTCGATTTATGTTATTTCGATTTGATTTTTGCTAGTTCGATTTTTGTTATAAGTTATATTGTATATCAAATACAAATATACAATACCTGATGCCTGAATCCTGATGGTGGTCGCCAGCTGCTGTTGCTGGAGTGCTGCTCCGCCGGTCGCTGGTCGACGCGACGCCGCCGGAAGTGGGAAGTGGGAAAGCGTTAAGGGCAGTGAAATGCTGAAACTTGAAAGCGGCGCTGGGCAGTGAGCAGTTGAAGGAAATTAGGAAAATCTGAAAAGTGAAAAAAGCGTGCTCACTTTAATAATAAATATTAATAATTAATATAATATATTTCGGTAAACTGAAATTCCGAATAATACAGAAGTTACATACCGAAAATTGAACCGAAATATCGAAAAATATGAAAATTTATACCGAAAACCGAAATACCGGAAAAATTCGGTTCGATTCGATATTTTGGTTTTTCGGTACTTATGCCCAGAAAACTGGAGAAGCGGTGCACATTGCACAAACTATCTCATCGTCGCTATGCTTACGAGTAAATTAACTAAATATTTATAACTTCGCACCACCATTATACTATGAAAATTCTACATCATTCCATCAATCTCCTATTGATGTTCTTGTGCTTACATTCGATCGATTTTTAGTCCTAGTTATACTCTCTTGGTAATTTTAATATAATTATGAGTAAATTAACTAAATATTTATAACTTTGCACACCTATTATATTATGAAAATTCTACATCATTCTATTAATCTCCTATTGATGCTCTTGTGCTTACCTTTTCTTTTCAATAATAAAAGTGATTAAATTAACTTATGTGCACCTCGATTTTGATCTCCAAAGTTTGCACCAATCGCGCAAAGAAACTTCAATGGGACTAAAGATACCTTCAAGGTTGGACTAAAAGTGCTACATTGCATACTTCAAGAACATTTTATGATTAGTGTAATATTTTAGGAGAGAGTTTAATCCAACCTATTAACTTAAGGGATGGTTTATGATTCAATTCTGAACGTGGAGGCGCTGTGAAATGTATTCAGTACCATAAAAACACAGCCATAAATTTATTCAAGAAAATGCTATCTCCCAAAACTGAAGTAACTTGGATATCAAACCCTTGTTCTCAGGTCTGTCTCCAAAGTCATAAAAATAATTGCATTTTACAAGACAGTGTCATACATAACACAAGAAGGCAGGCGATCACATGAGGATGAGAGATACATGCAACCAGGCGAGCAGCGGAGAATGAAGGACTAGACGTATATTTCTGTTTCTCCATAATCAGTAGCAATATACTCCTTGCATGAAAGACAATACCACCCTTTCATAACTAGGGTTGTTGACTTCATATACTAGATTTCACTTTGCAAATGGAAGTACAAGAATCTTCTCAAAAGTTCAACACTATCACGATGTTTTCTCAAGAATGATGCACCAATTTGATTTATCGTAGAATCTATCAACAAGAATGGCATTGTCCAAACCAGACACCAACCTGTCGAAGAACAGAACATTTTGATTAGTGCAGCTCATTGTTACAAATTGGTAAACTTCTAATTTGGTGAAACTGCGTAACAGAGAGGTACTACCTCATCTTGCCCACTCCTCACCCCAACTGCTCGAAAGCCTCCCACCTCCAAACAGAAAAGGTGGGGGGGGGGGGGGTATGAAAGGAACAACTAAAGAACTCCAGAACAAATAAGAGACACACAAGTACATGCCCTCTGATAATGGGAAACAAAAACTAAAGTTTACTTATCAAGAGAAACTTATCAGCTGGAAGCAGAGGCTCTTTTGTTTGGTTTCATTCATACATCTATATGCAGGCACTTTAGTGTATGGGGATAAACAGTAAAGTTGTCATTATTACTTCCGAATAAGGATGAAAGTGACTCCTGCATTGCCTACAATGTGATAAATCAGAACTCTAAAGCTCATTGGTCTTTTGAGGTCAATACAATTCCAAAGACTCACATGTGACCTCCTGAATATTGATATGTTTTTAGAGATTCAAACTCTATACCATATTATTACGAGAGGATTGATTGTACACTAAATTTCTACTTAAAATCCAATACAAGTGTTTAAACTGTCTTAGCCAAAGAAGACACAAGGGAACACTTATAAGAAGTATGAAGAAAATTTGGTTGTCTATGCTGATTGGAAAAATTACTAACCATGACAAGCATTTGTTAACATATAGCGACTTGACAGAATGATATCAGTCAAAAAAAATAAATAGAGATTTCTTTTACTTTTATAAAATAGAATAGAAATTACCTCTCAAGTTCACCTTCACTAAAAACATGGTAATATCTATTGTATACCACAGAGCCCTTCTTATCATCTTTCTTTGCCAAACCACTAGCCAAGGCAACAGCTGAAGCCCCACTTACTTCAGCTCGATGATAAGGTAAGTGCCAGGGAACGAAAAATTCCTGCTGCTTTGGATAATCTTTTTCAGATCCTGTAGGCAAAGAATGACCTTCATCCAGAGATGTTGGGTGCATAACTTCAGCTGATTTTACTTTAGAAGAGTTTGCATGTAGACCTTTCAACTGCTCCCCGGCACTATTTTCCTCTGCTTCTGGGATGCTTTCAAGGATGCGAGGAGATGAAGGGTTGCGAACTCGAGGACTCCCTGGTCCTATCCATTCCTCTACATACCTTTGGTTAAGTGGAGTCCACTTTTCAATTAACGAACTGTCTTCTTGCTCCCTAGCCCAGACAGTAATTAAAACACACCCGCCCTTTTTAACAACACGGACAAGCTCCTCTACCGCTTTCCTCCTCCTACTTTCAGTACTAAGGTGATGCAACACAGCAATAGAAATTGCTGCATCACCATAACCAGTCCTATATGGTAGGTTCACAGCATCTGCAACCAAAACTTCCTGCTCTTTATCTGCACATATATTAATAAGAGCCGCACTAATGTCACAGCCAATGAAGAAACAATCAGGATTTAATCCTAAGTATTTCCCATTTCCACATCCAGCATCTAAGATGAGAGAACCGGGAGATAATGAGCTTAGGAAAGCTGACACTTTAGGCCACTTCGCAAACCGAGTGGAACTGAAATGGGGAGCAATGGCATCATAAACACCATGGACATACTTCTTTTCAATTTCTGGGGTTGATTGAACATTTGAAGAACATTTTGCTCTCACTGACACAGGACGCAGAACAGGAACCTCTCCCACAGATTCCACTGTAAGCAAACTAGAGGCACTATCAATTCCAACTTCGTTCATCGTACTAAAACTTCTTGTACTGAAAATATAACCAACTATAACAGTAGATTTAGTATATATTCCTTTAAAACAAAATGACCTTGCCGTTCCAACACCAAAGAGCATCAACTACATGAATGGTACATGAAAAGAATCTGATCAGACAACAAGGAAAAGCAATAGCAACTCAGATTCACAACAAATTTCTCAACCAAGCAATCTTCCAATAGAAAAACAAAATATTTCTTCACTCCACATGTGATCTTAATTTACAGAAGCTCTTTTCTTTACTTTTCTAAGTTTTCAACCATACAAAACATTCTAATCCATTACATAATAACATTACCTCAAAAAGGCCTATTGGATACACAAATTAGGATTAGCATTTAACTTAATGACACATTTTGGGTAGCAATAAAACAAATTTAAAACGGTTTTCTCTAACAAATTGACTTAAAATTGTATTAAAAAAAAAAAAAAAACTTTTAGTACATTAGTATGATTTGATAGGTGTATTGAAACTTAAGAACTCCCAATACTATAATGAGTATTTCACTTTTTTTTATGACGGTGGTATCTGAGCCAGCTTGACTGAACACAACAAATCCACCAAACAGCCTAACTACAGTCCACAAGCACAGTGCCAATTAAACCCACATATGAATTTTAGCTGGGATTTGAACCTGAGATCTCCGGGCTAATTTACTTCAAATACCTCAAAAATAGGAATTCAACATACAAAAACAATAATAACACAATTCACATATCCCTATTTATTGGAATTAGAGTCAATATAGAGTGAGAAAAATAGGAACTTACAGATCGATTATCGTCGGAGAAAGATAGGAAGAGAAGCAAGCAGTGGTTGCAGTTCAATCTATTCGCAACTTGAGCTTTAGTCTCAACTGGAGAGTGCTATTTTAAGCATTGTATCTTAATCTAATGGTAGTAACAATGAAAACCCTAATTCATGATTTTACCCAATTAAATTTGAATAATATTTTTTGTTTACATTAAAAAAAAAAAGTAAAATTATATATCATCTTGTGATTTGTGACAATGATTATATAACTTCATTTTCTTTGGGGTCAATTTGTTAGGTGGGTTTGAAAACTTGTCTCATTCTCTCTTTAAAATGTTTGAAAAAGTAAAAAACCACTATTCCCCTCGTGGGAAATTTTATTGAGTATAGAATTTAAGGAGAAAATCATCACTGTTATAACCTAAATATAATACTCCTTTTATTCAATATTAATTGTCCAATGTTGACTTGACACACTCCTTAAGAAATATTAAATAATACGGCTAATATTATTATATTATCATTTGACTTTATTAAATTTAATATTTTGAGAAATGTGTTAGATGATACATAAATCATAATATTTAATAGCAGGATTAAAATAGACACAAAAAGTAAATTATCTTTTGATTTTCTAAATTGAACAAGTATTGTTGGACAATGACACTATTGTTGGACAGAGAAAGTATCACAATATATATTTTTTTGTAATTTGTAATAGGATTAAATATGTTATGGTATTTATTTGTGCATGTATAAAAACTTCTCGTCACAAATAAAATGATAAGATTAAATTCAATTAACTCTGAATTTAAGTTGTTATCACATAGCTGATGATTTGTTTCTTTTTAATAATAATATTGATAAGTATCTTAACTCTTATTATTCCATATGACATAGCGTGTAAGGCAGGCTTGTAAGCTAAGCTATACTTAAACGCAACAGCATCATACCTAAATTAATTTAAATACACAACTTTAACAAGACAGTTGTAAAGTTTTTAAATATTATCTACCATATATAAGGTATACCAAACAAAAATAGTTCTAGGTTGTCACTAATCAACATCAAACAGATATACAATAAAAAATGCTCCAACAGACTAATTGACTGGTTTATAAGAGAGTCCAACTTCTAGAAAGCGCGCACAAAATATATTATATTCATTCACCTAAATGATAATAACCACAAATAAAGATGGGTTACCTCCAACATTTTTAAAAAACACTCACTATACTTGCTATATAGAAATTCTTTACACTGTCAGTGTTGGGGAGGAGGGGGGGTTGCATGGGTGGAAAGACACATTATAAATAACTCACATGATAAACCAGCAAATATAACATATGTCTAATCTATTACTTTTGCTAATTTATGAGGCACTTTCACCAAATCCTCATATAACAGTGACAAGAGCCAAGTTGGGTTGAGACCAAAGAAACATGAATTTTACTTTCACATAATATCATGTTGAAATTTCTTGTAGTAGCACACAAAGTTGACAGTGACTCTGAGAATGGAGGTAGAATCCAACGCTAGTTATTCAGTCCCCAGTCGTAAGGTTGGTACACCACCTTCAGCTGACTGTTGGCGAGCAACTCTAGCAAAGCTGGAGATACCGATGAATCCAAGTAATTTGCAGCATGTTTCAATACTTCAACCTCGTTCTTCCCATAATCAACACTAAACCTGAGAATTGACAATAAAATAGCAATTCTTAGTATGGGGTTATTGAAACTCTATGTTATGCAAGTTAAATCATCAGATATCCATATCATTGCATAGGGTTGTTACTAGAACGGGAGGGAGGACACACCCCTGAGGATTACACAAATGAATTAAGAACTTACCATCTCAAGATTTTACTAACGTATGCAACCTTGGTACTAAGATCAACAATCAGTCCTCCATCTCTTAAGAAATCATGGGCAGACTCCACCAACTCTTTATCTATATTTCCAGGTGAATAACATCGAAGAGCAGGCCCAGATCGCATACCATTAACCAGGGCAAAATGAACAAGAGGCTCTGGATAAGGAAGAGCTACCTGAAAGCCAGAGGTGGATAACGGGGATTAGACAGAGAATGGATCAAGAAACATTACATAATATAAATGAAGAGTTTCAAAATACAACCACTAATTACTGCAGCTCCAATTCTATAACCAGATTGTGCTGTCAGCATTTGCACCAGAAGTCATGGAATCAAAAACTTGTACTATTATATATCAAGTCAAATTATAACCAAAAAAAAGAAGTCAAATTTATAACCAGTCCACTATTACGGCTTCTTCATGAAAACTCACAAGAACGGAAACAACAACTGGTACTGATGCAACATTACTCTTGAGCAACAATATATGCAGACAGGCAACAGCCCTCTCAAGATGTAGATTGACGATCAGCATAGTTACACTATATTCCTTCCAGAAAAGGGAATGGTTAAAACATAAAAGTGGCAGCAGAAAAAGTTCTATTATTTCTCCATCCTAGAAAAGCTAAAAATATATTACTCAGTGTTTCAACTAGAACAAAATGATGACCACTAAAAGTACTTCATCTACTATAAACTTGAACCAAAGAAAACCACAACAAATTATGATAGATTAGCCTATCTTCAAGGATCAAATATATTATTGTTCCTTCAGATGTGAACCTTACCATTTGTGCTAGCTACAGTATAGCTCGTAATTAAATGGGAATAGTGCTTGGCAATAAAACAACTGAATAGACTGATATTTTGTCATCTGAACCACATTTGGATATGATCAAATGGATATCTGAAGGTGAAGAAGAGTAAATTACTGCCCAAATGAATGTCTGGTTCCCAAATTCTACATATGTAGGAATCCAAGATATAACTGTGACCATGTAAACAGAGTCTTACCTTAAGACGCTTGTCTTTAACTCCAAATGGTTTGATTAGATTGTATGGTGGTCTCTGATTGCTCCTTAAGACTCCATTATGGATAGCTGATAGTGAATATGTGCACCCACCAATGACATATTTGAACTCTCCAAACAATTTTCTCCTCTCCATTGGTCCAGAGGGATGTCCCCAAACCAATATTGCATGAATGGCCATCATGTTGTAGAGATTAATAAAAAAGGCAAGCTTCTCCTCCCTGGGCATGTCTTTCAAGTTCACTCTTTGAAGCTCCTCGGTTGTTCTCAAGTACCTAGAAGAGCATCATTCAGTCGATACCAAGAAATACAAGTTCTACAAGCATGTGTACAGTGTACCCAAGTATGAACACACATTGGATATCATCCTGTGATCCTGTCAGCTTATGGAACCCAAGAAACCAACCTTGCAAATTCCTCGCTGCCGTGGATGCTTCTATAATCAACATGTCTTCCATCTTCTGATGCATAAGCTTCAAAAATTGCATGAGACAAAAATCTCAATCGAGATGAAATTTCTATTATGGGTTTGGGCTTCACTTCTGTTAAACCCCTTGGTATGTTCTGACACTGAGATACAAAGGGATCATCATCAAGGAAACGATACAGACTGTTTCCATCTTCAAACACATTTTCACTGTAAAAAACAAGGAACAGGGACACATATCAGACTGATTAGACACTGAGACAAAAACATGTACACACTGTAGAGATGGATGAAAAGAAAAAACAGATACTTACTCTAGTACATGTTGAAAGAAAAGATTGATTGCAAGCTTCCTACCAAATTCAACAGCCTAAAGGACAAAATCAATTAGTGTTATGATCCACAGCACGAAAGATGTTCTAAAAGCAAAAAGATCATATAAGAAACAAGGCGGATGGGAATTTTAAGCAAGAAGCAAGAAGTGATACATGTTTTTGACATGAAGTACATTATTTAACAAAAATACACATATTACCTAACAAATATGCATTTTAGATTCATAGCATAAGATTGCAATTGAAATACCAAGTCCAACATCCAGTATACAATAATGACAATATTAGTCCAACAACTTAATATATATTATTATATGTAATTTCTACAAGGCCAAGGAAAGATAAATTCAATCGCATAATAGATCTTTTAAATCTCAGTAAAACGACCATAAAATTAATTGATGCATTCAGTATGGTATTTAATCAATTTAGTAACTATGAATCTGTAATAAGAAAGTAGAAGAGGAATGCAAAAGAGACGTCCAAGATCAAAGTAGCAGAAAAAGAGAACCCAAAACTAGAATAAGAAGAAGGAAGTATTCATTGTTAGAAGATGAAAAATGCAGAGAGAGAAGTGTATCAAAGGAATAGAGAAACTGAATTAGTAGAAAGAGAGGCATAACAAGTAGTGCATTTTTGGAGAGTCCGACACGGGTGCGGCATCAAAAGTGAAGAGTCCGCGCAACTAAGAATAGTGATATAGAGAAGGCTGAACATGGTAGAGACTAGAGAGAAAAGTCTTGGTACTTAAATAGATTGTTTCACACATTCTCTCTCTTTCTTTTTCATATTTTAAGGTCATATAATCAGCGTCAATGTTTTGCACCTCATCGTATGAACATACACTTGCTTCACCCATGAAGGGATTACTCCTCGTGTAGCATCTCCCTATCGCTTTAACTGGTGAAGAGATGATTTGTAATAATACAGCACACAGATATGGTGTGGACTAACAATATGGATTCTTCTTGCTTTCTAGTTCCATATCTTCTAAAGATTATGGAGACTAACTAGATGGATTTCTTCATCTCTTGTGATTCCATTTTTTTCGTCTACCAATAGGCACCAGTGCATAAATATTTGCTGTGGAATCCACATAAACAAATTTAGAGGGCATCCAAACATGAGGCATACTACTACACAGTGATCATTGGTACTCAGTTCACTCCCCATCAAAATTTCTTTCAAATTTTGATTTCAACAGTAAAATCTCCAGTATTCTATCAGGAAAATGTGAGCATTGATGCTCTCAGGCCACATACATATTTCGAGTAAACATAATGAAAGGAGACTTTCAGGATTTAAAGAGAAAATAATCACATCAAATATGTGTGTGTAAAATCAATGTACAGTTTTGCAAGGATTAACCATATATCAAACCAATATCTTTTAGTTTTCAGTCCAATAATTGAGGTCATGGAATGAACATGTTCTATATAACAATACTAAAATACAATTCCAAGAACAGTTGATGTATGAAAACTAAATTGCACGTAGAAATAAATATGTAACAATAAGACACAAGAAAAGAAATGAGTTTTAGTCAAGAAAGAAATACTTGAATATAAAACATGAATAATCCTACAGGGGTACTATCTACAATCTACATAATTATTGAGTATTAACCTGGTGACATCAGACATCAGACATCAGATAATATATATATAATGATTTCAAGAAGAAGCTTCACTCTGGTTTATGAAGAAAATATTAGTAATAGTTACAAACAACAAGACATGGAATATTAAGCATCAAAGCAAAGCCTAACTAGACATGGATTCACAGCCATAATTCACATGTTGCGAAACTTTGCTATGGTTACCATAAGTTGAGGTCAACAAGCATCTTTAGAAGATCCCCTAGGTTTGATTAGTTTGTTCTAGAGGAATCTTGAGGTTTAAAAGAATCAAATTATAGAGTACCGCATCTGTAGATATTATTAGTAGCTGACAGTAATAGAAACAAATATATTGACCATTTTTATGATCACTTATTTTAACCCAGTTAGCATAAGCTAATTCTTTATGCAATTTGAAAACTGACCTCTTCCCTTTCCAAGTACTGATCTTCTGACAGGAAGTCCACAGCTTCTGATCCCAGGAAACAGTTGGTGAATCTGCGCAGCTTATAAAACCGGTCTTTCAAAGCAATAGACTGTTTCATTTTTTTAACAATAACAGCTAGCTCATCGATAGACCCACTACTAGACAAATCATCTTCACCAGAAAGAGGTGGTAGAGGAGCTTCAAATGATGGTGCTTCATCAACTACATATTCAATCTTCTCTGAGAGCTTTCCAGACTCATCCAAGCTCTTTAGCTCACTCCATCCCCCTATTAAAACTTCATTAAAGAACACTCTAGGAACAACAGAATCACCAGCAATTTTCTCCAGCTCCATCTTTCTACTAGGATACACATCAATGTTGACCTCAACATATCTGAGTCTTTTCCGGTGTAGAAAAAGTCTTGCCTCTTTACTTTCGTGGCATCCCAACCTTGTATACAATATAATCCTTCCCTTCATGGCTATTGGTAAAACTGCTTCTGGTGAGACCTCTGTCTCCACAAGTCTGTTTCCAGTGTCATCACGTAAAATCCCAATTAAGCTAAGGGGATTCCATCCAGTCCGTTCTACAGTTTTCTGAGACACGGCTTGCATTTCATGTTCTTGTGATGCAACGGCACTCTTCTCATAGCATTTACTCTTATCTTCTTCAGTTGTAACATCTTGCCCGTCATCACTTTTACCAGAAAGGCGGCGTAGAACAGTACTCACCGCAACTGTACTCTTCGATCTAACAAAGTTTGTAAGAGCCACTGCCTTCTCAGGCCAAACATATCCCTGTGCCTCTGAGTCACGGTGTGCAGAACGGGCTGATAAACTCCTATTAACACCCATCCCAGGTTCTTCTGTTCCATCAAATACAGGTTCTGCTTCCTCCTCATAAACAACTTCGTCAAGATTCTTGTTAGTTTTGCGGAGACATTTCAAGTCCACTTTGACACAATCAGTTTTCTTTCCACTCAAACCAGACATCTCTGCTTCGGAGCGTTCCTGTCCACTTTTTAACGATTTTAGTTCCCCTAGGATGAGAACTTGATCTAAGTCAGGTTTATCAATCTCATTTTTATTAGCAAGTGAAGAACTTAACGTGCTTTCACCTAAAGAATTCTCCTTCCCCGGTTCATTAATTGTAGCAACCTGACTTTTTTCAGCACCAGAATGTAAAATAGAATTATCAACAGAAATTTTCTTTTCCTGTTCATCCATTCGATCATTCACAGTATTCACCTCCTGCAGAACATCTGGTATACTCCCTAAATTCCTCTGGCTAGAAACTTTATTTTTTACAGATTCATTGTTAAGAATAGGTTCATTTGCTTCCTTTTCAGCAGCAGGATGATTGACTGAACCTTCCATAATAGCATCTTCTTTTTCCATGACGCGAGTCTACTATCATGGGAAAGTTAACAGCCACAGTGAGTTTCTTAGTTTGGCAGCTGCCAAAAACTAACCAAATAAAAAAAAGTTATAAGTTCCAAGAAATTTATGAACAAAGCAAGAGGCATCTCTCATCTGAGAGAAACACGTTTAAACAAACATCTACTTTTTATTCTACTTCCAATCACAACACAACTATATGAAACTTGTAATTCCTACACCGGACCAACAACAACATACCTAATGGAATCCCACTTGTGGTCTATGGAGGGTAGAATGTACGCAACCTTGCCCCTACCATATGAGGGTAGAGAGGCTGTCTCCGATAAACCCTATGCTCGGAACCATAGCAACACATTAATCTCAGTACGAAAAACTTATTTCCTCCACTATTTTTTTTATATGACCAGCCAGCTTTCGCGCAACTTGACTAATTCCACCCAATATTTCCCCCACTATTATTAGCATACTGTTTTCGCTTTTTTCAAGTACACTGTACTAGACATTTCTACGCTACCCTCATCAAAAAACCAAAAATCTTCAATCCTCCATTAATCAACATTGAAAACATCAGTTAATCTAAATCTTCTAACATGACGAATTAATCAAAACCTCCCAAAAAAACGGAAAAAAATAAATAAATAACTATAACAAGAGGATCAATCACCTACAAAATTTAAACTTAATTTGGACCAAAAATAAACTAAACTTTCTGAAAAAAATCAGGAATTCAAAATTCAATTTGAGTGAGGAAGATGCAAAAAGGGTTTAATCAAAAAACACATGCAAGTAATAGGGAAAACGTAAGAAAAAAACTTACAGATCTGAGAGGCGATAAAATAGGGAAACAGAGAGAAAGATGGAGAATATAAGGGGAGAAATTAGGGGGTAATAAATGAGAAATGTAAGAAAAATTAAGGACTTTGAATGGAAACCGTCGTCGTTACTATAGTACCAAAGGAAAATATGAGCAACAAGCGGGAACCTGTTTTTTGGGTGATTCATAAGGAATATTTTTTTTCATAGGAGACCTTCATTTTCTACTTTGGGTGTGTAAAATAAGTGATTTTTTATTTATTTTTTAAAATTAAAAACATTTATGTATAATCTAAGCAGATATTATGGAAAATGAAGATGAAAGGTGGGTGTAGGGTGGTGGCGATGGAGGCTATAGCAATAGCTGAAAATGAGATGTGTTGGAGTATGGGTAGAGGTGGATCTATGGGGCGGGATAGTGTTCAACTAAATTTTGTAAAAAATCATATTGTATATTTAAGGTAATTTTTTTGTTTTTTTCTTATAAATAGAGAGAGATTTTGAAATCTTTGATCACGAAATTAGAGATTGGTTCAGTGGTTTATGGGTCCGAAATTCATGTCGAGGTTCCATACTGAATATGAAATGTGGTGAAATTTGTTTTTACTAACTTTCATCAAAAGTATTTTTTCTCATTTTTAAGCGACTTGTTTTTTAATTGAAAAACTCTATTGCTTTGACCTTCCCGAATAACCTGAGAATTCGACACTTGAGATGTTAGAAGGTGCAAAATCAATGAGCTTAGGAGTTGCTATAATTGTTTCTACGGAAGAAGACTCAAACAGAATTTGAAGATCCTAGTTATGTCATACGTTTAATACAAAATCTGAAAAGTTGCAGAGATGATAAAAAGAGAGTGCTTTCCAATGTTGCTCTGAAAAAAGCATATTGTTCCACCTAAGTAGAATGAAAATAAGGAAATGGAAAGAAAAAAAGGGAATTATTGTAAAGTTTAGAAAACAGAAGAGGACAATCATTTATACTGGGTTTTCCCCAACAATAGCTTAGCCTCCAAAATAATCAACCGACCATGAAAAAATTGATAAAGATCTTTCTTCCTATCAAATACACCCTTAATTGTGTTAAGAGGGGGGGGGGGGGGGAGGGGGTAATTGTTTTACCAAATTTGGATCAAAATTCTTTGAAGTTGACTATTCATACATGCTAACTCTGTTGCGTTTGTTTACCAAAGTTTATAAATATAAAATAAATTACCTTATATTTGTGTATTGAATGGCTACCGCTTTATAAACAAGAATTTACGTATTGTTGGTCAGATGTTCAATCCAATGTGGAAATCACTAGAGGAAACAAATGCTTTGATTGCAATATTTGTTTCAGAGCAACTCGTAGTTATGGAAGACATGAGAATTGATGAATTTTTACTTCTTTTCTTTAGTTTGAAATGTATTTGTGCTTTAGGTTGTCAAATACTTAAATGGAAAAAATAGGATATTTTGTGTATTGTGATTGTCATACTGAATAGCAAACTACAATAACGAGAAATTTTGGAGGTCAAACAATAAACATAGAGTGCTAAAAATTATCAAGTAAAATGGTGCACTTAAATTGTTTAATAAATTGTCTGAATGAATTTTTTAGAGATTTTGTCAAGTCTGAGTAGCAATCCGATATCTATGAAAATGTAATGAGTCCCTTAAGTGTGGATTATAGTCGTTGATTGAGAATCTTCGTACTTAAATTGCATTAATTTTTTTACAAGTGTATACTCACCCCACCTTTCTTACAATAGATATAGGCAAAAAAAAAGAGTAAATTTTAGGAATAGCAAACATAAAAATCATATTAGCGCTCTATAGCTACAATTTTGTTATTTCCTCTCTATGGAGCATATGATTTGTATTAAATCGCAACAATTTGTATAAATCAGATGTTTGTGTCTATGAAATTGCGTTTGTATATGCATATGTTATTTGTGTTAGACTAGAGTGGCGAGCAAGATTAGGAGAGAGAGGAGAGAGGCAAGCTAGAGAGGGTAGAGAGTGGAGATAGGTGAATTGTATATGTATATCGGTTAGATAATTGTATATATGTAACTACTATGTACATGTATCAATGAGTGTGTTTGTATATCTGTATAAAATTTGATTTCGTATACAATTGAATCGAGTTAAACCATTTGTATTTGTATATCAAATCTCTCTCGCTTTATACATACACAAATTGTACATTGTATTTGTATAATTTGTGTTTTGTATAAATCGAGAAAGAGAAAGGCAAAAGAGAACTGAGCAAGGGAAGATTTGTATTAGTATAATTATTAGTGCATTGGACGGAGAGATATGTATTTGTACTTTTATATACAATCTCTCTCGCTTTATACAAACACAAATACAATTTATACATTTGTGTTTGTATAAAAGGAGGCGAGGGAGAGAATTGAGAGTAGCGAGCGAGATTCAAGGGAAAGAGGTGAGAATGACAATGTATTTGCTACGAATTGGAATTAAATGAAATTGTAGCTATAATATTTATTTTGAATTAATAATTTGCTATAATGCATAGTTTTTCCAAAAAAAAAACTACTTCATTATAGTTTTTTTTTCACAATAACAAAAAAATAATTAAATGTCACTTGCATTTAGCAATGAGCAGCAAATAATGCAAAAAAGAGGAAAATATTGTTGGAAAAATTAGAAAGAGAATAAAGTGAGAATTTAATTTTAAAAAATGAAGATATATATTATAAAAATTATTGATCAAGGATTTAATTGTTTTTTCGATGTTTTTTTTACCCTTGAAATTTACATTTGACGTGCATAGCTTGGGTGTATTTCATGCATTTGCTAGATAGGATCCGAGTGTTTTTTATTCAAGTTTTGGAAAATTAATATACCTACTTGTGCACTGACAAAGTTAAAGGTCAAAGTTATAATTTGGAATCAAATCAAGGGTCCAATTTATGTATTATGCCTAAAAAATATATGTTGTTGTACGTATAATTAGGTTAACATTCATAGATGGGATAATTTAAAATTGGCTAAGATTATGTAAATGGTGTTAAATAAAGACAGTCAATCTCTCAATTTTGGGTTGTGAAAGCTAAAGTCTTGAGTCATCGAAAGATTTGACGTATTACAAAATTTTATATTGAGAAGTAGGTTACCTAATTGTTTTTGTTCTTAGTTTTATTGTTTTATATATATATATATAATGAAAACCTCAAAAGTTAAAGTGGAATTATTAAAATATTCTTCTATAATATAATTTAATTTTTATATTTAATACTAATAATAACCAAGTAAACTAAAAGCTATTAATCAAAAGTGTCAACAAGAAGTTATTTTTTTCACTGCTTATTAAATGTTTTGATTACCTCATGTTCACCTTCGAGAACCAGTTAAAAGGCCCTGCTTATAACCTATATAATAAAAGCTCATGAATTTTTTACATGATAAAAATAAAGAATTTAAATTATATATATGGTTTGTGTAAAATTATTAGGTCAATTAAATAATATTTATAGGCAAATTTTCATTAGAGTAGCGAGAGAGGGAGAAAAAAAATTCATAAATCCTCACACGCATACCCAACCTGACCAGCTCCACCTCCCACACTTCCATAATTTATTTATTTATTCTTTCTTGTAAGCTAACTATTAAAGACTTCTTTAACAATCTTGATTCGTCAAATAATATCAATTTGAAATTTCCAATTCTAACTCACTATCGTTGATTCAATCTATAGTTTTTAACTTACCCATAGTTTACATAATAAAGTATGCACTATGGTTTAAGATTAAGACTAGATAATCAATCCATTAATTATGAGATTAAAATTAAAATGTGACTTAGAAATAAGGTTCACCTCACAAATCATACAATTATAACAAAATTAGAAGTATGCGCGTTCGATTACCTCAATAATATAATGTTGGGATACTTATTATATGAAGTTTGACCAACTAATTTATAAAATACGGCTGAAATATGTTAACTGTATTTGCTAATTTATACATATTCAATATAGATATACACATTGTTATTTTTGGTTTAAGATATACACATACTAAATGTACACAGTATATACATTTTATACATATTTTGACCATGTTGGAGTTCTAAAGAATCCACGGACCAGGCCCATTTCAGCCCAAGATTACAGTCCAAGCAAGCCTAGTAGTGCAGCCCACTATCTAATATTTTGTATTTGAATCAATCAGAAATTAAAAAACCTTGGAATTATAATATAAAAACCGATTAAACTGATTTGATTTGATTTTAACCTCACTCGTAAACAGGGCAGAGCTAGGTGGAGGTTCATGGGTTCGGACGAACCCAATAGCTTTTTCGTAAACCCTATATTTATACTAGAAAATTAAGTAATAACTTGTGAATTCCTAACAAAACTGATTGACAACTTAAAACCTAAATCCTACTAATCTAAACAAACTCATAATTTAACCATAACTAAGATGTGATTACAAAAATAATCTTCAGATCGATGATTTTGAACTTTTGACCTAAAACTTCAAAATCAATAATTTTTGCCTCTTGATGTTGAGGAAGTTCGCTTAGAAACGCAGGGGTCAAAAATCTTCACCAATTTCCAAGATGGTGCATGTAATTTTCTGGCAATTGACTAAAGTGAACATTATTGAAAATTAAAATATAAGCCTTTGCTTTGAAAGATGAGTATAGTCACATTTGACTCTACTTTGTGAAATATATATACGAATTAAAATTTATTAATAACTGCGAGGTACAAAAAATGCTACTCCCTCCTTTTAAAAAAATATATTATTTGATCTATTTTTTAGTCCAATTTAAAAAGAAAGATTTTTTTTCCCTTTTTAACCGTTTTTAAATTTCAACTTTTTTATAACATATGTTAATATTATAATATTAAATAATATTTTAGTACATTTAATGTATTTTTAATTTATGATCACAAAATTTTTAAAAAAATGTATATTTTTTAAACTTCATACTAAAATAAAATATGTCAAATAAATTGAAACGAAGAAACACGAGCATCATTAGAATAGAATAGTCAAAAAAATTGACGAGCCTTGGACCTTCTAGTGACAAATTGAGAGCAACAAAACATTGAATTTGAATGCAAGCATGCAGACTCTGTACGTCATACCATATATAGATTATATTAACTTTACATTTTTTTACAAATATTTTTTATTAATTTTATTTAT